GACACGGAGACACACAGACAGACTCACAAGCAGAGAGAGACTCACACAGAGATAAACAGAGAGGGGCACACACATAGGCACACAGAAAGACGTCTCTGTGTTGAGCGCTGTCTCTAAAAAGTGGACGTGGACCCAAGCTGTGGTCCGGTCCGTTGTAGCTAGTTACGTTGTAATTAGCGTAGTTAGCCTGGTAGTCACCACCATAGATTGTTATTATGTTAAGGGGCAGTTACCCCGTGTGTTGGTGTTAATAAATGTGTTGTCTCCAAAGAGTACGTCTGCGACTCAGTTGAACTTACTACAAATATTTCAGGTTAATGTCGGAATTCCACAAACGTGTGAAAATAAAAATAAAAACGTCTTAATTAATGTGGCACATTGGGTTTTCACCATCTGCATTGGTTCAAGGCAAGATATGTATTCGTATGTGTGTACGTTGAACTTCTTTCGCACAGTACGAAGCCAGCTGTGCTAATTGGAGGTGCAGATTAATTACTAAAGTAGTTAATCTCAGGTCAGAGTTTCTGTGTTGACTCTGGGTTGACCACGACTTTCCCTAAATTATAACTAATATTACTAATTGACTCAAAGGAATGATGGGCTGAGTCAACCCCCAAACAGGATTTAGACTCGTGGCCTTAAATTGTGAGTCAAGCACTCGAACAACAGTGGTAATCGACCAAATGTAACTACTTAGCACAGTGGATACATTCGTATAATTTTTTATTTTCTGACTTATTTTCAAATAACACTCTCTGTAAATTTCGATTTAAAGCTTTCGTGACTGCAATGATTCATCTTCTTTGGTTCTTTCGGTAAAGTCACGTAGAATGAGAATAAAATAATAAATTGATAAAATAAAATAACACAATAATATTCTCACGACGTTTTGGCCACAACACAAGCGGCCTTCATCAGGTGAAGGGAGCGAGACTGTCTGGTAGGACAGCGCTGGAGTGAGAGAGCCACGTTCAGATCACGGCTTTTAAGCTTAGAGTCGCGGCATCTCTTCAGAAAGGTGAGAGACTCGATTAGTTGAGCCTTCTTATCCCGAAGTCTGTTGAATGATCTTAAGGATGTGTGGAATCCCTCCCCGTAGAGGCGGTTAAATTTCGATTTAAAGCTTTCGTGACTGCAATGATTCATCTTCTTTGGTTCTTAGAGTCGCGGCATCTCTTCAGAAAGGTGAGAGACTCGATTAGTTGAGCCTTCTTATCCCGAAGTCTGTTGAATGATCTTAAGGATGTGTGGAATCCCTCCCCGTAGAGGCGGTTAAATTTCGATTTAAAGCTTTCGTGACTGCAATGATTCATCTTCTTTGGTTCTTTCGGTAAAGTCACGTAGAATGAGAATAAAATAATAAATTGATAAAATAAAATAACACAATAATATTCTCACGACGTTTCGGCCACAACACAAGCGGCCTTCATCAGGTGAAGGGAGCGAGACTGTCTGGTAGGACAGCGCTGGAGTGAGAGAGCCACGTTCAGATCACGGCTTTTAAGCTTAGAGTCGCGGCATCTCTCACCTGATCATCTGCATGGAGACGTGGTGACTGAGATGGTTGCGTGCGATACGCTGTGCCACTGCTCAGCATGTCCAACAAGTTGTTTTGTTTGGCTTTTTGTTTTTACTCTTTCATATTTACGCCTCTCTATGGGCCGCTGTGATTCATGCCTTGTACATAATCTTAAGACTCACGTAGTAATTTAGACACGATATATTTTCATTATTATTAATATACGCAAAAAGCCATTAATTCTAGAACCTGCAATCGTATTTCCCAGATTAAAAAAACACATTTTTGTTTTCATAGGTATTTAAAAAGCAAAAGTTGGGGGCTGGATCTCATAATCCGGTAGGAGTGTGTGTGTGTGTGGGTGACCAGATTCGTATAATTTAATTACCACTGAGCAAAAGATCGGGGTGTGTGGCTTACTATCCAGAGCATCTTGTACTGTAAAGAATGCAAAAAATGCAACACTACTTGCTGTAAATTACTGTAATATATATGGCAAGGAACAATTCCATGGAACGAATACGTCTCAGAGCCGTTTAAGATGAATTTCCACTGGAATTACCTTAGGGTGTTTCTTCATTTCCTGATGTTAAGGCCCACGGAGATGGACTAAATCAAATTATGTAAGAAGAAAAAAAAAGCTAGCGCTTAAGTGCTTTCAAATGTGGCTGGGCAAAGATAATCTAAATGCTAAACTGGAGAAACCTGGGCTTATAAGATTTTACCGCTCAGGAACCGAGCCCAAAAATGATGCTGGCTTAGTGTTCTGACACAGACATTAACCACACGGTGAGCTGAATACCTCATAATGCGCATCATTTCAAAAATTTGATTGTACATTTACTGTATATGGGAAATACCTCTAAACCCAAATATGTTAAATGTCTCTCTAAAATATGTTGTTTATGTAATTCTTCATCGTTGTTTAAAATTTCTGGTGAAACACCACTCAAGTTAATGGTCAAAACATTTACACCATAAACATATATCTTTTTTCCACAAATAATGTGGAAGAGTATAAGATAATAAAACAAAACATTTCAATTTTGAACTCTCATGCTCTGTGATGTTATCTCCATTCAGATAACATCACAGAGATACTTCTGATGTTGCTTCACTAGGCCTGTTTTTACCTACAATAGTGCACATATTAATGTCATGCCAATATAACTCATTCCATGGAAATCTATTTTGTTTCTTTGAGCTGGAATGATTATGCAAATTCAGTTAAATATATTTAGTTGCTTCCCTTTTTTTTAACGCAATGTACTAAACTAAACTATTTTTATTTTACCAGGTCAGGCCCACTGAGCTATATACTGTAGCTCTTTTCAGAAGCGACCTGACCACAAATGATAGCTCAGCCAAATACTCTAAACTCATGTGTTTAAATATCAAGGGAAAACCGGAGGACCCAGAGAAAAACCCACACCACTACGAGAAAAACATGCAAACTCCAAATATACAACAGGAGTCAGGGTCGGGAGGGAACCCATGACTCACGACCTCCTGTTTTGCCAGGCAAGGTAGTTAACAGGGCCATCAGCGTGTTAGGCCTGAGGTCTCGTGCCCCCAATTACACTGCTGGGTGGACAAAAAGCCAGGTGGGGGTGAGGGTTTAAGAAACTTGCACCATTGTTTCAACTACCACACCGGAAGGACAAATCGAACTGGCAACCTTTGCAAGTTCAGTGTGATAACCATACTGACCGTTACACCAGGCCTGAGAGCCAACTTTCACTCCATACGTGGATCTCGGTGTCACCCGTTCTATGCGTTGACACCAATTGACCCCCCCCGCCACCCTGAGCCACAATGTCACTTTTGATACCGTTTTTTATGGCATCGCTCCAGTTGGCACATTGCCATGAATGTACTTTTGACATTTGGTAAAATACGATTTGTTTCGCATCACTGTTATTTTCGAGCCCTTCAACTCAAGTGGACTTGTTAGCTATCGCCGCACGTAGCGGTTCGTCTACACCATCGCTCGTGCAGCCGCCACGGAGCGATCAGCGTAGTGGGCACGCCCGCCCACTCATTGACGTGTGTCTGCCCACCCACGACCACTGACACCACCCATATATTGGCCTGGTTTATATGTTTTATGGCCTCCCACGGGGCAAGGACAGCGGATTATAAACAACATAAAACAGTGTACTTGTAAACGCTTCGTGTAGAGCACTTTTTTTTCCAAGAAAAGCACTCTGAATGAAGTCTTTTCATAGCAAAAATAATGTGGGACATTAAATTATTTGGTTGCTTCATCATCATCAACAGCCATGATTAATCCACTCCCCAAGTGGCCACTTATTCAGCATCACAATGGTGCAAAGAGAACATGCAAGTGGCAGAGGCTACAGAGAAGTAGCCCCTACACTTTGGTGTGAGATAATTAGCCCTAACACTATGGTGGAATGAGAGCATGCCAAAAATAAGCTGCACATGATGAATTGCATCCAATTAACCACATTTCTAAGCAGGACGCTCCAAGGCAGCAGGACATATTGAAGATAATCTATATCATTTTGTAAAAATGGTATGAGTTAATAAATGTTTCTATGAGTAAACGTCATTTCAATAAACGGAGTTGTTTATTCTGTTTCATAACAGAAACCCAATAGTGTATCTATCAGTGTCATAACAAGGCTGTGTTGTATCCAGGGTGGGACGAATAACAAGGTGTTAGGAAAGGCTCATGGGGCATGTGCTGTGGAGATGGAATAAGGAGGAGGGGCAATAATGTGATGCCAGAGTTTAATTACTTTTCAGAATGCACAACTTCTATTGAAACAGGAATTGTCAGCAAATCCGTGTTTATCTAGAAGCCAGGCTGCCCTCCTTGCCCCACGCGCACCCCCAAACGTGGCCAATTCCTCGACATTAAATTAGGGCCTGGCAACTCCAAACCTCCAAGAAAAACGCAGTCCATCTTTTCCCAGCCAAACAATAGTCACACAACACCAACTGTAACGAGTGTCATTTCATTTGCAAGTCGATGTTAAAGAACTTATTGGTAATGGAAATGCTATCGAGAATGTGTATTGCCTCATTACAGAATTGTTGAACAACAGCATTAACTCGCTTGCTATCTCCAACGTGTTCAACTCTATAACATTCTCACCATGCTACCTTTACCTCACCCTCTAACGCTGTCTTTGTGTGAATCCCGTCCCCCGCTAAAATGCTAATTGATGCATTTATTGACAAGCGCCTATATCATCACGGCTCTACAGATCACCTATATCTATAATCTTTGACCCCTAATGTTACGTAGAATAGTGTTGCTGGAGTATTTGCCTAAAAGGAACCATATGACACGTGACCTGTCGATCAAATGAGCTGCCATTGTCGGTATTCCCGGGAATATAAACGGCAACTTCATGAGGGAAGGAAGAGACCTGGACAGACTCGGTATCGGACTCGTGTTGTCACTTTGTAAAAGCAATCCCGTTGTCGGTGTCCTTGGGCAATTTCTTACCTTTGCTCATCAGATGAATGTGCCGCTTCTCGTCGAAGAGCGAACCAAATGTCTCCTGTTGCTTGCGAATTTCATTCATGAGCTCTTCTTTCAGTGTGGCATTTTCCATCAGCTGGTGAAGACATAAAAGGAGGAGGGCTTAGTCACGAATACTGGCAGGGTTGCACATGTTAGGACAAAGGTGCAGCCCTGCAATATCTTCCTCATGCCATTGCTGGCGTAAGAGCCCTCACAAGACGAAGATCTGGAGAGGCCCTCTGGAGGGCATATGGCCTACTCTTCCACATTGGCCAGGCATCCTGGAAAAGATGGGAGGTCAACACTGTACCCCACCACACGCGAGCTGCCGATTGACTGACTGTGGTGAACCGATACACCTGCTTGACCCGAGCTACAGTGAGGGAAAAAAGTATTTAATCCCCTGCTGATTTTGTACGTTTTCCCACTGACAAAGAAATGATCAGTCTATAATTTTAATGGTAGGTTTATTTGAACAGTGAGAGACAGAATAACAACAAAAACATCTAGAAAAACGCATGTCAAAAATGTTATAAATTGACTTGCATTTTAATGAGGGAAATAATTATTTGACCCCTCTGCTAAACATGACTTAGTACTTGGTGGCAAAACCCTTGTTGGCAATCACAGAGGTCAGACGTTTCTTGTAGTTGGCCACAAGGTTTGCACACATCTCAGGAGGGATTTTGTCCCACTCCTCTTTGCAGATTTTCTCCAAGTGATTAAGGTTTCGAGGCTGACGTTTGGCAACTCGAACCTTCAGCTCCCTCCACTGATTTTCTATGGGATTAAGGTCTTGAGACTGGCTAGGCCACTCCAGGACCTTAATGTGCTTCTTCTTAAACCACTCCTTTGTTGCCTTGGCCGTGTGTTTTGGGTCATTGTCATGCTGGAATACCCATCCACGACCCATTTTCAATGCCCTGGCTGACGGAAGGAGGTTCTCACCCAAGATTTGACGGTACATGGACCCGTCCATCGTCCCTTTGATGCGGTGAATTTGTCCTGTCCCATTATCAGAAAAACACCCCCAAAGCAAAATGTTTCCACCTCCATGTTTGACCGTGGGGATGGTGTTCTTGGGGTCATAGGCAGCATTCCTCCTCCTCCAAATACGGCGAGTTGAGTTGATGCCAAAGAGCTCCAATTTGGTCTATTCTGACCACAACACTTTCACCCAGTTGTCCTCTGAATCATTCAGATGTTCATTGGCAAACTTCAGACGGGCAGGGGGACCTTGCGAGCGCTGCAGGATTTCAGTCCTTCACGGCGTAGTGTGTTACCAATTGTTTTCTTGGTGACTATGGTCCCAGCTGCCTTGAGATCATTGACAAGATCCTCCCGTTTACTTCTGGGCTGATTCCTCACCGTTCTCATGATCATTGCAACTCCACGCGGTGAGATCTTGCATGGAGCCCCAGGCCGAGGGAAATTGACTGTTCTTTTGTGTTTCTTCCATTTGCGAATAATCGCACCAACTGTTGTCACCTTCTCACCGAGCTGTTTGGCAATGGTCTTGTAGCCCATTCCAGCCTTGTGTAGGTCTACATACTTGTCCCTGACATCCTTGGAGAGCTCTTTGGTCTTGGCCATGGTGGAGAGTTTGGAATCTGATTGATTGATTGCTTCTGTGGACAGGTGCCTTTTATTCAGGTAACAAGCTGAGATTAGGAGCACTCCCTTTAAGAGTGTGCTCCTAATCTCAGCTCGTTACCTGTATAAAAGACACCTGGGAGCCATAAATCTTTCTGATTGAGAGGGGGTCAAACACTTGTTTTTCTCATTAAAATGCAAATCAATTTATAACATTTTTGACATGCATTTTTCTGGATGTTTTTGTTGTTATTCTGTCTCTCACTGTTCAAATAGACCTACCATTAAAATTATAGACTGATCATTCTTTGTCAGTGGGCAAACGTACAAAATCAGCAGGGGATGAAATGCTTTTTTCCCTCACTGTATAAGTGTTCTAATACTTGTGTAGTGGGTTCACCTGAGTCACAGACATAGTCTTTGGAAGAAGCGCTTTTTATTTAGTTCCAACACATAGCGTAGCTTCCCCTTAACACAATAACAACATAGGGTGGTGATCACCCGACTAACTACACTAGTTTCCACGTAACTGTTACTACGGACCCGGGACCAACAGCATCTTCTCGGGTCCACGTGCTGGAAGACTCATAGAACCGAGATCGTAGACGAAGGGTTTCTTCCCGGGATGAACCAACCCCGGTGCCTCTCGGGACCTGGCTTATCTTTTCTGTGGCATGGCCGGCTCCGCCCTTGGGTACGTCCACCTTCCAGAACCCTCGGGAAGGACCTGGGTCCCAATCATGTGACCCCTCTTAGCCCCCTCTAGGGCCCCTCTGTCAAGAAGTGTTCTTGCCGTTGGTTTTCACACCTGATGATGACTGCTTGTGTTGCAGTCGAAACGTCGTGAGAATTTTATTGCTTTATATATTTTATTATTTTATTGTTTCCCTTCAACGTGACTTTACTGAAAGAACCAATAATATGAATCACTGCAGTCACGAAAGCTTTAAATCCTCATCTAATTATCATGCAAATTTTAATTTAATGAAGTCCAGCGGTAATAGTTTTTTTTATTGTGCCAGCTAAGGCTCACTGAGCTATATAGCTCTTTTTCAGAAGCGACCTGGCTATCACAAAAGATAGCTCAACGAAGTGGCTTACCATGTGGACATTTATAGCAGCCAAATACTCTAAACGCATGTTTCTAAAATGTGGAGGGAAAAATTGGAGGACCTGTTAAAAAAATCCACACGACCACTGGGAGAACATTCAAACTCCAAATATACAGCAGGCGTCAGCATCATGGTCGAACCCATGACCTCCTTTATACCAGGCGAGATAGTTACCATCTCGCCACCGTGGAGCCCCGAACCTTAGATGACCAATGATAGTGAAATACATAATGACCGACTCGTTTGAAAAGGTCATTGCATACTTCACGTATCAAAAGGTAAAGGTGCAGCCCAGCAATTGCTTGGTCTCGCCACTGTGCAGTCGAGGGAGTTCTAGAGAGTAAAACAAATGAATGGGTACCACTCGAATGCTGATATCTGGTGTGAGACCTTAGACTATCTTCATAGCAATTTAGTGTGTGTGTGTTTGCCTTGCTGCTGGCAGTATCAGTAAGGGCCGCTTCTATCGGCGCACCCAAACCACCCTCACGCATGTGGGTCCTGTCGTTGCACGGACAACCCACAGGGGGCAACACAGCCAACACATGTTTTATGACGACAAAAGCAAATTCTGGACACAATCAAAGTCAACTTTCTTCGTGTGGGCAAGGATATGAAAAATCTATCTTTATTTTAGTTTTTAATACTGTGAAGGAGCATGCACAGAAATATCTTCTAGCGCGCCCACCCTCCCACAGTATGGCCAACTCAGTCGTGAGTCTTCTGGCCCAGTGGGTGGTGTAACGCACCAGAGGAAGAGCATGACCCCTACTGAAGCCAAAGCCTAGACAGAGAGCATGTGGAGCCCTGCGCTCCCAGCTGCAGGCCATCTGACTATTTTCTGGGTCAGAGAGGTGAGAGGCCAGAGCTCACAGAAAGCTCAGTGCATGCACTTGTTAATAAAATATATATTTAACTTCCAACAATAACAATGGCGCAATATTCCTGAATCCTCCACCCCACTGCGTCTGTCCACACTCAGCAGCCTAAACGGGTTCAACCACAGGCAGGTTGCATGTGGTGGGGTAAAGTGTGGGTACCCCCACCTATTCCAATACGTTTGGCCTGCATGAGAGAGTAGGCCAAAGTACACGGACTCCTCTACTTATGAACGAGTTAGGTTCCAGAGGTCTGTTCGTAAGTCGATTTGTTCGTAACTCCAACTTTACTCCTGTCGATTCCAAACATGTTGTACGGCATGTACACTAAACACTGGGAATGTCTTCAAAAGTTGTATATTCTCTTCTTTGGTTCTTTCGGTAAAGTCACGTAGAATGAGAATAAAATAATAAATCAATCAAATAAAATAACACAATAAAATTCTCACGACGTTTCGGCCACAACATAAGTGGCCTTCTTCAGGTGAAAGGAACAGACCTATCGGGACGACAGAGCTTCAACGACAGAGCTTCAACCTGTCATCCCGACAGGTCTGTTCCTTTCACCTGAAGAAGGCCACTTAGGTTGTGGCCGAAACGTCGTGAGAATTTTATTGTGTTATTTTATTTGATTAATATATTATTTTATTCTCATTCTACGTGACTTTACCGAAAGAACCAAAGAAGATTAATCCTTCCAGTCACGAAAGCTTTAAATCGAAATTTGTATAATCTCCTGTAGATGGAGATGCCTGTAGATGGAGGTTCTTCATGTTCTGCAGTCGTAGATGCCACCACCGTCATCTACGACTCTCGGTCCGAACAGGCAACTGGACATAAGGACAGATTTGTTCGCATCTCTCAAAGTTCCTAAGTCGAATGCTCGTAAGTAGACGAGTCCCTGTATCCCCAGAGCAGCTCTCGAGAGCTCCCTCTCGTGAAATCCCTTCCACCGGTAGTGCTGCACGTAGTGAAATCCAAGCCCTGCACCATTACCCATTTATTAGCTTCTAACTATTAATCTCTCGTGTAATTTATCAGCACTATGAAGCAACGTTGCATGTATACGTGTTGTACGTTGTTGCATCGTAGGCCTACTTTGATAATTGTTAATATTGGGAGAGCATCATCTTCATGTGCAATTTAATTTTTAGTGTGCAATGTTTTTGAGGGACTGTGTATCGGTGTCTTGGTGTGGTCTGGGACTGTTCTTTCTTGCTGTGATTTTGCTGCCATGCCTAAGTTTGGGAATTGGTGTACTTATGCAATTTGAACTCAAATACTTTATCTATTTTATGTATTTCGTTTTAGTGATTTGCTTACCTTTCCTATACTTTGCACTCCTATCGTTTTATTGTATTGTATTTGTTGTAATAACTTTCTGACCCCGTGCCCTACTGGACATCTATTCATAAAAAAACAGCTTCATAGCTCATCGGATTTCTCCGGGATAAATAAAGATTCTGATCATTGTAGTCATCATCATTATCATCTATCCATTTACGAATGAG